CACCTCTCCCAGGTGCTTTTGAGAGTCAGACTGCCTTGGGGCAAGACCATTTGTAGCATTCCATCTGGAAGGCCCTTCCCCTGGCACACAGGTTCCTGTGTCAACAAAGTGGAAGAACCCAAGCCCTGCCTATTCCCAATACCACAGGCAGGCTCTGCCTGAATCTGCTATGTGCTCACAGCTCCTGGGTAAGTTTCAGTGCCTCAAATCCAGTTGCACACCTGTGTGAAGCTTTTGACTATTTTGGAAGTGGTTATCTAGGATGTGAAAACAGCTACCCCTGTCTTCAGATTTCTGACACTCTTAATTTTTGCCTACCAGTATGGGGAAATTAGAACTAGTCTGGACTGTAGAGGAAAAAACTAAAAAAAGATATACTTTACCCAAAGTCTACATGTGAAAATCAAATCCTAGCTTTCAGTTTGCAGTTCTTTTTATCTTTGTCTTCTGGCCCTGAGGTAGTCCCACTGTTTTAAGAGAAGCTGATGGGGGGCTCAAATGTTGGGAAAGTTTTAGTTTCAGGTAATAGCTAATAAGCTTAGAAATCAATGCATGTAAAAAGCTGTGGTTTCAGAAATTGGAGGTATGACCTACCTTGACTCCAGGAGATGATAAGTGGATCCACCTTTGTGCCCCAGGAGGACTGCAAGCAATTCAAGAAGGTATCTGAGCCATTGTGCTCCAGGATGAGATGACCACCACCCAGGGCACAGCCGAAGACCATTGACCAGGACACAGATGGAAGAATGCTGCACCTTTTTATCTGATTAATTTTTTCCCTGAATTTCAACCCCCTTACCTACATTTTTCTTCTTATAAAAAAGGGTCAGTTTAAAATGTAATTTAAGATGGTCTGTTAGGGTACAAACCTGACATCTTCTCAGATCGACAGCCATCTGAATAAAGTGACCGTAAAAATTCAATCCCTGTCTTTGCTCATTGGGTCTGGCAGGTGACAGGCAGCACAAACACCCGCTTTTCTGCTTTCAAAGCCTCTTAAGTATCATTTGGGGGGAAAAATTTATAGCTGACTACTCGGGCTAATCTAGTAGATCTAATCTTAAGATTTCTATGATTACCCACTTAAAGATCTAAGTGTTAAATGGCTATTTGTTTTAGTTGTTGATGGCAAAAATACTTTTTTCATTGGAGTTACTATTTTGCTGGGCACCAATGACTATATGCCAGAAATAGACTAAAAGATATACTTTTTAAATAGCATATCAAGTGTATTTGTGCTGGTTTGTCTAAAATCCTTTCTGCATAAATCAGTCACTTAAGTTTTGGTTGGGGTGGGGGTGAGTTTGGCATAAATATAATTCTATGAGCTCTGCACTTCCAACTCTCTTCATCTGCCTGTCAAAGTGGTGTTCCACTAGTCCAACTTGGCCTGAGTGCAAGGGGCAGCAAAGGGTTTTAATGGTCCTTTGGCTTTGGTTTACTAAAATGTTTGGTAGAAGATTTCTGACCAGAAACATGTATATCATGCCTCTAGAAAGTAGGGGGAAAGTAGAAGTTTAATTTCCAATGTGTATCTTTGATTTTTTTTAGTAGTAATAGGAACCTGTGCTGAAAGAGAAAATGATGATCTTCATCTGTATTTTTTATTATAGGAAGATATTATTTGGTAAATTTCTTCCCAGCTGGACTGTAAATTCCATGAGAGCAAAGACTAGAGGTCTTTTCTGCTCCATTTCTGAGCCTGGCAGTGGTGTAGAAAATGGTAGGCACTCAATCTAGTCGTTGAATGAATAAATGGATAAATCCCACAATAGAAGTGAAAAATCAAGTTATAAAGCAGTATGTATTGTAAGACCTTGCTCTGTAAAACATGGCATATTTACATGTACCTATCTGTATTGTGTGTGTGTGCACATGCATACACAGAAAAATGTCAAGGGTGGTAAAATTATAGATGATCTTTTCCTAACTTTGCTAAATTTTATGCAGTTTTGCTATAAGTTTGTCTTGCTTTTATGATCTAGGGGAAGATCTTTAAAAGGAGAGGGAGAAGAGTGAAGGATAAAACATAAAAGATAAAGGATGGAGAATAAAGAAGCTGTCACCACCGGAAGATGGACTATCTAATCCTAAAGATATAGTTGGTGTGATACCAAGTGTCAGTTTGGGGAGGTTCCTGTCACCCCTCTGACTATTCCACTTAAGTACATACCTACTCCACATACCTCAGCTGCCTTCAAAGGCAAACAGCTTCTCCAACTCTGTCTTCAAATGGAAGATAGATTTGAGGCATTTCCCAAGGTTCAGAAAGCTCAGGATTGCCAGCCACCCATAGACTTGGAATTATTCCCCCCTGGGCCCTAGCCTGGCCTCAGATTCCCTCACCCTAGAAGCTTTCCTGATACACTAGCACAGTGTGGTCTCAGCTGTGTCAAAAACATGGACCATGCCCTGGCTGAGTGGCTCTGTTGGTCGGAGTGTCATCCAGTACACAAAAAAGGTTGCAGCTTCAATCCCTGGTCAGGACATGTACTTAGATTGCAGGTTCAATCACTGGTCGGGGTACGGAAGGGAGACAATCAATCTCTCTATCTCTCTCTCCCACCTCTCCCTGCCTCCAATGAATAAAACATATCCTTGGGCGAGAATTTTTTTTAAAAAAAACATGGACCGTGCTGCTAGTCCTGGGATTCTCCTGGGATCTGGTCTGGACCTCTCCCCTGTAGCCTGGCCCTTCCTGCATATTGCCCAAGCTCTATCTTCTTCCCAGTCCTGCTCCAGGTTTTCTTTCCAACATGTCTTGAATGACGCCCCCCCTCCCAATTTCAAGTACCCTTCAGTCTTTCACTGCTTCCCTCAGTAGCTCTATCTATCATCTCTCCTCATAAGAGTTCACAAAAGAGTTTTAGGCTCTCACTGTCAACTTTCAGCTCCACCCTGCCTTGGAGTGCAGGCATTCCATCTTCCTTTTAGTCTGGTGGATAGCTGGTCCTGCTCCCCTAGTTTATTTCTATTCATCCTTCCAATTGACTACCAAACTTTCACTGAGTGCCCCACACACTAGGCAGAGCCCCAGAGACAGTATTCAGGACCCAGCTTTCCACACATACACCAGATGGACAAAGAGACTGTGCAGACATCCCCAAACCCTGCTGCTTCAGTCTAATGAGAAGCTGGGTTAATCTGGGACAGTCAGTCTCTTCCCACTAAGTTAGGCAACACATGGAGCATCTGGGATATTTTCCTAGGAATTGGTGGCTTTTCTGGTAATGTCTCTAAAAAGCCACAAGAGCAACAATCCAGAACAGCCTGCCTTGCCCTGGATTGTACCCAGAGCTGCGCCAAGTATCCAGAGCTATGCCAAGTGTAAATGGGAAAGAAGGCTACTTCCTGTCTATAGACCTTGAAAAGATGGGCAAGTACGTATTGAACTCTGAAGAATAGGAAATTTAAAATAACTCTTTCTCCAATTCTTGAGACCAGGGCTGCTGTACTTTGGAGATCAGATTAGATGAGTTTAGGAGATCAGTTAAAACTCAAGAACAGGAGGCCAGGTCCTGGCACTCTTCTTGAACTATCAGACAAATGTACATTTGCCCTGTCATGAGTCAAGCTCTGATGTGACTTCTGAGGAGAAGGGGGCTAATGGTACCATCTACCATGACTTACAAACCTTCGCTGGCTGTCCCATTACCCCGGGCTTCAGCCTTCTGAGGACAGCTGGGAAATGTCAGTGAACGGTCAGGTATGCATGCATCTTCCCCATTTCTAATTTTACATCCCTCTAGAATGAACTTTACTAGGGCTGCACTCTTGCCCTCCCCCTTTCCTAATGAGTGAGCTTGGAAAGGAGAACCAGGCTTGCATAGCTTTGCCCCTCCATCTCTTAGGATCTGGCTGTCTACAACAAGCTTGTGTTCTACTCTCCCATCTACCATGGGAGGCCTGACAGAGAACACCATCATGGCCCTATGCTGCCTCTGCCTGTGGGGAAACCTGGCCTAATCCTGAGGTCCTATAACAGGAAACGCATTCCACCAAAGCATAAGCCATGCTCTCCAATATCTGCTTTGTTAATAAAGGCAGTATTTGCTCTTCATTTGTTCATTCCTTTGTCTTTTTTAATTGGCTCAGAGCCTGGCCCTTTCAGGTCCCAGGAGCTCCACTTGCAGAAAGAAAATTTGCTCTGTCTGGCTGGCGTGAAAGTGGAGCAAAGGAGCCAAAGTCCCAGTGGTGACTTGATGAAATGCAAAACTCTCTTCTTCCAAGGCTGGATCACAGAGGCCTGCCCAGACTCAGGGGCAGGGGGTGGGGGAAGATGGACGAGAAGAACATTTTGTGGGGAGACCCCTTGACATTAAGTAATCTTGGGCAGACCTATCCCAAGAAACATAACTACATGGATAAAGGAGAAGCCAAGACAATTCAGCGTCCTTATACTCACTATCAAACTTCTGAAAGACCACCACCCACACCTGATTTTCCTCCACTCTTATGCCTCAGTTTATTCTGTGACTCCTTGAATGAAAGTCAAATACCAAAATGTGAAATACAGTGCAATTTATTGAGAAGAGAAAGTGTAATATAATCATCACCAGGGGATCCACAACTAAGGAAATTAATGGGACAGAGGTGAGTCAATATGTGAAAAGACACTCTGGGAACCAAGAGTCCAAGCGCCCGGCTGAAACATGCCAGCTTCAGACCATCAACCCCCAGTCAGAGCAAGAGATAAGCCAGAAGGGAACAAGCCAGCCTGGGAAGGTCCACACTGGTTGTGGCTCAAGCACTGCTGTCCAAAATCAGGGGCCATCACAAGGTCAGACCTAGGGACATCATCCCAGAATAGCAGCAGGCCCTCCCTGGCCTAGGAGACATCTTGGGCATGGAAGAGTCAGGAAGAAGTTCAGCCCATTCTCCAGGGAACTTGAAGAAAAGCAAGGTTGCAGTTGGCATCTGTTTACTCTAAGCAGAGAGTGGGAAGTACTGTTGCAAGCTGAGAGAAAAGAAGGTGGGCATGGAGATTTGGCCCTGAAGGATTACTTGGAGCTGTACTGGCCAGAGCTGGTGGTCTGGGAGAAGTGCATGCTGGAGCTGCCTCCACCACTAGACCGGCCACCAGAGCTGGAGCCAATTCCACTCTGGCTCACAGAGCTGCTACCTCTCCCACTGCTGCCGCCCTGGTAGTCCCCACTGCTGCCACCCTGGTAGCCCCCACTGCTGCCACCCTGGTAGCCCCCACTGCTGCCACCCTGGTAGCCCCCAGTGCTGCCACCTTGGTAGCCCCCACTGCTGCCGCTCTGGTAGCCCCCAGAGCTGCGGCTGCTGCTGCCACCACTTCCTCCTCTGTAGCCACCGCTGCTTCCTCTGCTGCCGCCATCGCTGCTGCTGTCTCTGTAGCTACTGCTGCTGCTGCCACTGACCCCTCCGAAGGATCCGAAGTTTCCACCAGACCTGCTGCTCGTGCTGGTAACGTTGTTGATCACTGCTACAGGAGAATAAGCACTCAATTCAAGCTAATGACCTAAGTCTATATCTCAGCTCCACCCTACTTGGTTGTGTGACTTAGAGAAAGATACCCAACTTCTCTGAGACCTCAGTTGATTTAAAAAAAAAAAGTAAGCCTGACCTTCTGGTGCCCTTTTCCAAAAACAGGAGCCAGCAGTATCCACAGAAATTTCTGGTTCTCCAACCTAGGGAACTCCCCAAGACCACAGGGGTTTGCCAGTTCACTCTAGGGACAGAGTGTGGCCATGGCCTGAGACCCTAGATACCGTTTGGTGGCCCAGCCTACTTGCAGGGGTCAGGTTCTCCTGCCTGAAGGTTGGGGAGGATGTTTCTAATTCCCCTTTTCACAACCCAGGAGAAGGTTTCTGAAGGGCTACTTACAAATGCTTACAGCACTCTGACACTCTCCAGACATCCTAAAAAAAGAAGAGGAGAAATGGATTATTTCTACAAAGAGTCATTAGCCAAACTGCTGAGGGTTCATAACTTCAGGAGCCACATTCTCCCATTTGCCCAACTAGGGGTCAAGCTCCCAGGGGGAAGGAAGGCTATGCCAAGTCCATTACCATGACCAGACCTCCCCAGGAAATGTGCTACTTCAGGACCTTGAGATGTCCAGAAAATCAACCAGCCACCCTCCATCTCTCATCTTCTTTCCCTTCGTTCCCAAGATTATGTATTTCAGGCAAAGCCCACTTGATTAGCCCAGTCTCGCCTCTCCTCCGCTGCTGACACAGTCTTCCCTCCTTCCCCTCTTTCTTCACCCATTCCTGGCTTTCTTATTCGACTTCCCTCTTTCAATAAGCCTTCCTGATGCAGTGAGGGTGGTGATGATAATAGTCATTCAAGGTGAGTAAAATGTGCAAAGAGCTGACACTCAACATATGATGAGTGTGAAAATGCCCTTCCCACACTGCCCATGTCTCCATGCCCTGTTGTTGTTTGTGGAGCAGGCACAGCCCCATCTGAGCAGACATGGAATGTGTCAGCCCACCATGCCCGTGCAGCCCCACAGGGGTCCCAGTACAGGGAGCACCATCTCCACTCTCGCTCCTCTTCATGGGGATTCATAAGGAATCCTTAAGTTTTCTTCTCACACTTGAGTTTTGCTTTCTTCATCAGACTGGGAGCTGCCTAGGGACAGAGGCTATGAACATAGGCTGCATGCAGAGCTGGTCAGCAGAAGGATCTCTCAGTGCTTGATATGCCTTTGGCATTTGATATCCACTCACTAAGCCCTCACCTGCTACTCGTCAGTGTGCTGTTTTGCTAGAGTATTTATGTATCATCCACCTCCTCATATGGACTCAGGCTCAGGGGTGGGTGGCTGCAGGGTTGTCTATACTGAGCTGTCCATGCAGTAACTACCAGCCACATAAGGCTATTTAAATTTCTTAAAGTTAAATCAAATATAAAACTCGGTTTCAAGTGTTCAAATGGCTAATGGCTATTGTATTGGACAGCACAGACACAGAACATTTCTGTCATCTCAGAAAGTTCCAGTGGACAGCACTATCATTTTTTCATAACCCCAAAGCACTTTTCTTATGCATCACACACAGTAAGGCTCAACAGAGGTATGTGATACAATATTGATGTCCAAAGGTAAGGTGGCAAGTTGGATGATCTTGATTAACAAAAAACAATGGAGCCTGAATGCTAAACACTGTCATTCAGATTTCTTGCTCCTTGTCTAAGTTGTCTTCTTCTCATCTTGCCCTCTTTCTTCATTATCAAATGTCACTTTAAAGTTATATCTGGAGAATACTGACCCCACCACCCCTCACCTGCACTCCTCGCCCTCCAACAGCTTGCGGTAGGTGGCGATCTCCACATCCAGGGCCAGCTTGACATTCATGAGCTCCTGGTAGTCACGCAGCAGCCGGGCCAGGTCATCCTTGGCCTTCTGTAGGGCAGCCTGCAGCTCTTGGAGCTTGGCATTGGCATCCTTGAGGGCCATCTCCCCACGCTGCTCAGCATCAGCAATGGCAGCCTGAAGGTTGCCATTCTGAGGCAGAGAGAAATTGGAGGTCAATTAGCATAGTGACCCAGAAACATGCACCTGATCCTTACTCAGAAAAGGTCTCTTCCCTATCCAGCATCTCTTCATTCCCTTCCTTAGAAAGTCAATGGAGCATGTTCAGAAAACAGAAGTCAGTTTTGCAAGTGGTTCACTCATCTTTGGGCCATTCAAATCGATTCACGTCTCATCAATAAAAGGAATGCTTATTTGCTGGTAAAAGTAGTAGTGGTCTGGTAAGTAGTTCTTTTTTGTAAGGCTGTTTAAAACCTCCCTTGCCTAATCACTTTATTCCAGAAATACAAAGTAGCCAAGAAGGTTATGTGAAGTACATGACTAATAGCTCACTGAGGGCAGATTTTGCTGAGGGCTGAGTGTTTAAGGGCACTCCTCCAGCTGCAAGATTTGCTGGGTCAAACAGGATGGGCAACCATCTCTCCTTAGGGAAGCATCAAGAAGCCCAGCCTCCAGGAGGACCATCTGGAGAAACAGAATGTCCCAGAGACTGTGCTATCCCACATGTGACACCATGAAAGGACAGAGAAAGCATGTGGCAGAGAGCCATCCATTGCTTCTCCTTCTCCCCAGGGCCCAGAAGACATCCAGGGTCCCTCCATTTACCCCAGACCCACCTGCTTCTTGACACTCTCCATCTCAGCCCGCAGCCTCTGGATCATCCTATTGAGCTCCATGATCTCGGTCTTGGTGTTCTTCAGGTCATCCCCATGTCTGCCAGCCGTGGTCTGCAGCTCCCCAAGCTAACAGAGGAGAAACCAATCAACATGGTTTTGCAAAGTGTGGGAGCATTTTTGATAAAGGTCAGCAGGACCTAAAACTAGAGTGTAAGGAAAGGAAAGGGCTCCCACCTTGGTCTGGTACAGGGCCTCGGCCTCAGCCTTGCTCCTCTGGGCAATCTCCTCGTACTGGGCCTTGACCTCAGCAATGATGCTGTTCAGGTCCAGGTCACGGTTGTTGTCCATGGAGAGGACCACAGATGTGTCACTAACATGACTCTGCATCTGGGACAGCTCCTGTGGAAAACATGGATGGTCATCTTCACTATTCCCTGGCCTCAGAGGAGGTTGGGAATGAAAAAGTTTAAGAATCTTTGATCAGCAGAGATATTGCAGTGATGGGGCCAGGATTGGGACAATTAGAATAATAACCTTGCATTTCAGGCCTGGCTACAGACTAACGGATGCCAGACAACAAAGCTAAAGGAAAAGGAAATGCACAAATGCAATCGGGTGTCAGCCTGCAAGCATCAGCCAGTAGCATAGTGCATGGATTTCCATGGGACTGCAGTAGGGAGAAGCACTCCAAAGGAGCTAGCTGTGATACTCATATTGGAGCTGGAGGGAAGGTGTAGAACAAAATGGGAAAGTAAAGAAGATGGAGAGGAACCATGCAGGCTGAGGGAGCTAAGTCAGCATTTCCTGGATGGGTCAAAGCTGAGTTCTGAGCCCTGTCGATGCTTTTGTGTGTGTTCTGCCACTTGACTGTTCCCTAAAGTCACACTTGAAAAACATGTTTGGGGAGATGCAGACAGAAGGCCTCTGGAACTTGGCAAGGCAAGGAATCACCATCTCATAGAGGGTCCTCAGGAAGTTGATCTCATCTGTCAGGGAGTCCGCCTTGGCCTGCAGCTCCACCTTGTTCATGTAGGCTGCATCCACGTCCTGGGGGTGGGGGGGAAGGCTGGTCAGAAAGCCAGAAGAGTGAGCCTCTGCTCCGCTGCCGCTCGTGGCTCAGCTCGTTCCTCAGCTCGTTCCTGTCTCCACCTCTCCCCTTTGTCCCTCGCCCACCCCTCCTCTATTGTGACTTCTCACTTTGCCTTTTAAAAGAAAGAGAAGGTGGTTTTCTTTTCACTGCTTTGACCAGTCAAACTCCAATGCTGTAACAAACTGTAAACCATATCAGCCAGGTATGGCATAAGGGTAGAAAAAAACATTTATCTAACATATGACTTTGGTTATAAAGTACCAAAACCTACCCTCCTGAATAGAAATAGAGGTATTCTCATTATTTCATCTGTATGGTAACTGATTTAAACAAGCAATGAGTCTTTATGGGCTGTTGCTGTTAATAACATCTGAGTACATTTGTAGGCTGAAATCCTTGATTAATGCTATACAAAAAATGTTCATTATTAGTTGGCTGCACTAATCAGCTCGTAATTCCTATTGTAAAATATCTTCCCCACCAGTATGTACTCAGAGTAGCTTCTTTTTCCACCTCATTTCCAAAAATACGAGGAAAACCATAAGCCCTACACAGGGCATAGGGTCACTGTGCCCGAGAGCTGACTCTGCCCCTGCCCATGTGGCAGTGGCAGTGCCCAGAAAGGGAGCATTGGCCTGCCCGTCCCAGCTCACTTACCTTCTTGAGTCCCACAAACTCATTCTCTGCCGCAGTGCGTTTGTTGATCTCATCTTCATACCTGGGACAGAAGGGGGCCATACACTGTTTCAGAAGTTTTTGTTTTAAGAAGGCGAGGATCTCAAGCACTCATGCAGAATGTCCTCACTCAGAGACAGGACCAGCTACACAGGGCCCTGGGCTCAGGAGGTCCTCATACTCGGTTTAGTGCTCTGCTGGAAGGATCTTTTTTTTTTATAATTTCTTTCTTTTTTTATTTAATTATTTTTCAACTACAGTATTCTGTCTTTTACTCCCATCCCAGCCCACCCCCCTCTACCCCCCACCTCCCTCCCATTTCCACCCCCCTTAGTTGTTGTCCATGTGTCCTTTATACTAGTTCCTGTAAATCCTTCCTTTTTTCTCCCTGAAATTGCCTCCCCTCTCCCCTTTGGTCACTGTCCCCCTGTTCTCCATTTCAGTGTCATTGTTTTTATTTTTCTTGCTTGTTTGTTTTGTTGTTTCGCTTCCTGTTAAAGGTGAGATCATATGGTATTTGTCTTTCGCCACCTGGCTTATTTCACTCAGCATAATGCTTTCCAGTTCCATCCAAGCTGTTGCAAAGGGTAGGAGCTCCTTCTTTCTTTCTGCTGCATAAAATTCCATTGTGTAAATGTACCATAGTTTTTGGATTCATTCATTTACTGATGGGCACCCAGGTTGCTTCCAGCTCTTGGCTATTGTAAATTGTGTTGCTATGAACATTGGGGTGCATAGGGTCTTGAAATTCGTAATTTTTTTAACAAGGACCCTGCATTGCCATTTTGCACTGAGCCCAAAAATGTATTCAGCCAGTTCTGCCTAGAGGCCTTTCAGAGCTCTGGTCACTGCCTCACCCTCCTCCAAGTCCCAGTGACAGGCCGAGGTCAGGCAGGGCGGCAGAAGACTTCGAGGAGCCCAGCGACTTGCCCCACTCTGACAGACTCCACAAAGCACAATGTGCGCATTTGAGGCTCGGAGAGGTATTTGTCCCGCGTGGGTGTTTCTGTTTCTCTTTTCATTAATTAGAGTTGCTTCTTATAGGAATTTGGGATAAGAATGAACTTGTGTCTTCTGAATGCATCAAAGTTATGAGTTCATGCCTGTTAATAATTAAAATATCCTACCAAGAGTTTGGATTTCATGAGGATTAAAGACCAGGATGATTCCAGGAAAAAGGAGGTTTCTGGGCAATGAGAAATATGAGTGACTACTGGATTCCCAGCACCCAGCGTGGAGCCTGCCACAGATGGGTGTCCACCAGGTTCATACAGTTGAATTAGAAGGAGGCTTCCCCTGAGCAGGGGTGCCTACCTCTGTAGGTCCTGACCTCCGAGGATGTCTGGAGCTCCTTCCTCACTTGAGAGGCCCCTTTACCTCTCACAGACTCAGAGGGTGTCACTACAGCACCAAACATACATGAGGAAGCTGAAGCTGCAGAAAGGATATTGCACTGGCCACATTGAATGAGTGCTTTACAAAGTGGGGCCTGGACTGTCTGCCCAGAATCCCTGGGGAGCTGTGAGGTGCTCAGACTTCTGGGACCTGCCCACATCCACTGACTCAGGGTGTCTAGGACTGGAGCACAGGAATGTGCATTTTTTACAAACTTCTGAGAGGATTCCTAGATACAGTAAAGTGTATCTAGGAATACACTTTATATCCAGGGCTCCCCATCCTAAAGGGCTCCAAACTCTGGGAGGCTCTCCTGTCCATCTGGGCTGGCCTACGAGGAGACCTGCCTGACATCCGAAAAACCGTCTCATAATCAGCCTCCTAGAAGTCCCTGTCCCCACCATCTCACCATCTTCCACTTGGTCAAGCTTCCCTCAATAAATCTGCCCAAGAGTATTGATTGAATGTGTAGTCAGGAAAAGTTAAAATTCCAAAATGGGGCCACACCTCCTTGCTAATCCCCCAGCAGTGGAAGCTGCCCAGTTGGGGCCCTTACTTCTTTTTGAAGTCTTCCACCAGGTTCTGCATGTTCTTCAGCTCTCCTTCCAGGTTCCCCCTCTCCCCCAGAGCCAAATCCAGCTGCCTGCGCAGGAAGCTGATGTAGGATTCAAAGAAATGCTCCAGGTTGTTGGGGCCTGAGCCAGAACCCCGGCCCTGCTGCTGAAGCAGATTCCATTTGGTCTCCAGGACCTTGTTCTGCTGTTCCAGGAACCGCACCTGCATCCCAAAGGGCAGAAATGTGGGATATGAATCCAGTTTTTTAAATTGCAATAGCCCCTGTTAGTTGTTGTTGTTATGTTGCTTGTTGAAGGTATTTGTTTATTTATTTGGAATTTGAAAAGGATAAAGATTTTTAAAAGGGAGAGTTAGAATATGTTAAGTGCCTGCTCTATACCTATTTTCACGTTTTCTATCTCATTTAATTCTCACAACCACCTATATGGGAGGTGTTATTATCCTCATTTTGTAGATAAGGAAACTAAGGCTCAAAGAGCTTAATTAGATTCCCTGTCACTAAGTGACAAAGCAAGAGTCAAACCAAGCACTTCCCAAGTCTATCAGGATCCAAAATACAATCAACAGAGAGCAGCCTAAATAAAGTTATTTCTCATTGAAAACTTGTTCCCCTCTATACAGGTAGTAAAAACAGTGAATGAAGTCTAACTTTTCTGAGGTTGTTTCAGATTTTCTCTAGTTGTTTCCCCTTTCAGTTACCTGCCTACAGGCAATCTAGGGTTACCTCCCTAACCCAGGTTCATCGCCTGGATCACCCTTCCCTGTCCCAGCACAGACCCCTTAATTTAATAGTGGCTGATGCCCAGCACCACTCAGAAGGTAAGTCTGTTGCCAATACTCATCATTGAGAGGCAGTCTCAAGATTTCTATTAGTGCAAGCTTAATTTCCAGCTAGTTTAGATTATCAAGCAATTGCTTTTCAAGAGTAATTGAGCCTGGCTGGTGTAGCTTAGTGGATTGAGTGTGGGCCTGCAAACCAAAAGATCCAGGTTCGATTCCCAGTCAGGGCACGTGCCTGGGTTGCAGGCCAGTTCCCAGCAGGGGACACATGAGAGGCAACCATACATTGATATTTCTCTCCCTCTCTCCTTCCCTTCCCCTCTAAAGATAAATAAGTAAAATCTTTAAAAAAAATAGAATAATTGAAAATTAGCTGAAATCGTGTCATGGCTAATACCCTATTTTTAACAAGAGCTAAGAGTATGTTTGGACCCTCACTTCATATTTCCTGGTCTGATCACTAGTAGAAAACCAGAAACCAGAATCCTTTTCTTACTTCATAGCTGGGAAAACAAGGCCCAAAGAGCAAGAAAGGCAGGCTTACAGACTTGTAGGAGCCAAGGCAGAGCCAGGACAAGATATCACACCCCTGCCTTTAAGCCTGGCAGATCCCAATGGCATCTCTCTGCACCAGCCCTCTGGATGGCACAAACCTTCTACAACAGCTCTGGACTTTTTCCTTACCTTGTCAATAAAGGAAGCGAATTTGTTATTGAGGGTCTTTATCTGCTCCAGCTCCTGGGCCTTGACTTGCCCAATCTGGGGGTCAATCTCCACATTGAGGGGCTGTAGGAGACTCTGGTTGACAGTTACTTCCTGGATTCCCCCAGGGAAGCCACCAGGACCAAAGCCACCAGACCCACCAAAGCCACCAGAACCACAAAATCCACCAGCCCCTCCAAAGCCACCAGCTCCTCCAAAACCACCTCCCATTCCTTTGCCAAAGCCACCACCAAAGCCACCTCCATAGCCACCTCCAAAGCCACGGCTGCAGCTGCTACGTCCTCCCCTAAAGCCACCAGCCAGGGAGCCACCAGCCACGCTGATGGAGATGCTCTTGTTGCCACCCAGGTTGTAGAGGCTACGACTGCCAAAGCCACCTGCCCCACTCTGGAATCCACAGGCTCCTCCACCAGCTCCCCCAGAGTGGGACACACTGCTTATCTTGCTGCTGCCAGAGACTACAGCAGAATGGCCAGAGAAGCCCCGGATCCCGCCACCGGAGGATTTCATGGAGACTTGTCTCTTCATGGTGACAGAACTTGGAGGTGAGCAATAATCACTTAGCAAGAGCTGAGAGGAAAGAAGACAGAGCATGGGGACAACAGAGGAGACTGGCCTTTATATATGTAGCAGTTTGGCTTGGCAGGAGGAGAGGCCAGCAATTAGCTGAGAGTCATCTTGGGTTTGGCTTGCCTTCTAGTCAGTAAGTTATTTCTAAGTTCTCAACACACCTCAAAAATAATCCTCTGTACCAAAATGATTTTTCTTTCTTAGCTTAATCACCTAAACTTCCCTTAGTTGACAAAAGACTAGAGCTCTCCACCCTCCCTTCAAGTGATTTCCTCAGGGGTCCCAGGGAACTCAAACAGCACCTGATCCAGCAGGCAGAATTGGGTTTTAACACCAGGAGATTAGGAGCCACTGAGCTTCATTACACAGTGGTGAGTATGAGACCACTTCTTTCGGGTGGACTCAGTCCCTTTCTGCAATGCCAGATTGCCACAACCCAGTGACATATCATCTGTGTCCACCTCTTCAGAGAACTATCCAGAGGAGGACTTGGGGTGGGGGGAGTGGGGTGGAAAGCACACTGACCCCCACAGGGTACACTCTGGCGTCACCTGAGGCACAGGCATCTGTTTAAGCTAACCTGCCATTTGGGCTGAGCAATGCTGCTCAGGGAAACAAACGTGGAGATAAAATGTCTGACCCATAAGAAAAGCGAGGGCCATATATGAAGCAACAAGTGTGAGGCTTGGGAAGAAGGAGGAGACATGGGCAAGGAAGAGTTTCAGACCAAACCCTTTCACTACCATCCTGGACCAACAGCAAGTGATTCCGGATCCAGAAGCAAGAGAAGACAGAATATGGACATCCTCCAGCTTGCTGGTGGCGTCAGCTCAAAACCCCACTCATCTTAAGATGAGAGCATGAGCTGTGTCAGATCTGGGGGCTTTAGGATTTGCTATCCCCTTTGCCACCTTGTCTGAGTTAGATACCCCTCCCTATTTTCCCACCATATCCTGTACTTTTCCCACCATGGCCCTGAGTTAATGTATACTTATCCATTTATTTGTCAGTATCCCTCCAGGCCCTGAGCTCGTTTGAAGGAAGAATTTGAATCCTACTCATTCTGAATCCCCAGCTTCTTGCATAGGGTAAGCACAACACAAACATGTGTTAACTCACTGATGACCAGTATCTAAGACTATAAATATCTAGACCCAGGTCCCACCCCAGTTTTATGGAAGGAAAATCTTCAGAGAAAGGGCTTGAGTGTCTCTATTTTTAATGAGCCCTCCAGGTAATCCTTATGACCAGGGAAATCGGGGAAGCCCTGGTTTAGACTATGAGTGTTTCACCTGGGTCAGAAGGGATGGAGTGAAGAGCCCTTGGTGGTAGAGTGGGCACAGTGACACATTACTGCTCTCACTTCCAACAGCTCAACTGTCCCACACCCCAGTGCAGCCCACCTCCACACCCAACCACACCACACACAGCGAGGGCAAATCCTCAGGTTGTTATCTATGTATGGGACTTCACAAGGTGTGACAGGAATAAATGGGAGTGATTTCTAGACTCCTCCAGAAATAGGTGGTTAGTATATCTCCAGAATTTCAGATGAATCAGCAGCAAGCATTCCATCTTTCAGAGATGGTTTCTAGACACAGCAGTCAGGGGCAGAGGATTAGTCTAAAAGACCCTCAAGAACCCCAAGTTAAGCAATTTTAACTGCTCTGCAGCTACGTCCTAAGCCTCTGCTGGGCAGTTTGTCTAGGGCCAGAGGTTGGAATCCCAGCTCCACCACTCACTAGCTCTTTGACCTTTAACAAGTTACTAGCTTTTATGTGTCTGGGTTTCCTCAACTATACAATGCAATGATAATAGCAGGTACGTTGTGGGGTTATTGTGAGCATTAAACACATTACATCAATATAAAATGTTCAGTCCAGTGCCTGACACGTAGTAAGAACTGCATGGTTAGCTATTGCTAGTACTCTATTTGAAGACATGGGAGAAATGAATAACTATGGCTGACCTCAGCTGTTCTCAAGACGACTTTCTACCCCTGAGAAATTTATGAAAGGATGGTAGAGAAAGGAAGCTGAGTGTAAGTGGAGAGTGAGAAAACCAAGCTAGGGCCCTGACTGGTGTCGCTCAGTTGATTGGACATCATCCCGCAAAGTGAAGAGTCGCTGGTTCGATTCTCAGTCAGGGCATATACCCGGGTTGCAGGTTCAGTCCCCAGTCAGGGCATGTATGAGAGGCAACCAGTCAATGTTTCTCTCCCTCTATTTCTCCATCCCTTCCTCTCTCTCTAAAAATAAATGAAATCTAAGAGGGAGGGAAGGAAGGAAGGAAGGAAGGAAGGAAGGAAGGAAGGAAGGAAGGAAGGAAGGAAGGAAGGAAGGAGGGAGGGAGGGAAGGAAGGAAAGCTGAGAGAGCAGAGAGCAAAACTTCTGCTGGGATGGATTTGGGTTGGGTGACCTTGGGCTGATTTAACACATAAGTCTGTTCTGATCTGTCAAATCCTTTCCTACCTCATTGGTTTGTGGTGAGCCTCACAGGATAAATGCAAGTGAAAGTCATTTGAAAATTACAAAATGCCACACAAGAATAAGGTAACTGTGGTCTAATAGGAAGCCTGTCATCATGGACCTTGGAAGATTGGGTTCATATCCCTCATCTATCTCTCACTCTGTAGTGACCTTGGACAAGGCCCTTGACCTCTTTGAGCTGCTCTTCCCTTATGTGAAAAATGAGGATTCTACCCCACCTGTAGGATTGTTTTGATATTTAAATAGTGTCCATCAACAATTGTTTGGAATTTTTTTAAAAACATTACCCATCCAGACAATTCACAAAGGGGGTTCTGTGTTGGGTTCTTCTTTGAGACATTTATTCCACCCATTAATTGAGTGCCAATATCTGTTGCTGAGGTCTTTATTCATATTCTTTGAAATTCCTTTAAAAGTAGATCAAATGCCCCTTCTGGGAAAAATACTGAGCCAGGCTCCCCTGAAGCCTCACGTGAAAGCCCAACACAAACAAAGGACAGACATCGGAATCTCCCATTCCCTTCCCCTCCCTTGACTCAGCAGTGGCAGCCTCCTAAGTGTGGCTCATTTCTGCCACCCTAGAGATGCTGGAGAAGGGGGATGGAAAGAGGCAATGGGCAGATCATAAAAACACGGTTTGGGTTGGGTTCCCCTAATCCACATCTCCCAAGCCTGCCAAAGCATCACCTTCTTTAGCTGGTTGGAGTTGTTTTCTTAGCAGTTGACTGAAGCTTCTGGAAATACCCAGAGTTAGCATCCTTGGCAATATTTTTCTTACTCACTGCAGGACCTTTTAGAGCAGTGGCGTCTGAATGGGCTGCCTGCTGTCAACAGTCTGAGTTCTAGTCACACCCGCCTGCCAGAACCTTCTGTGTGAAGGTTGCCAGGTGACTGAGCATGCTGGATCCTTATTTTCCTCCTCTATACAATAGGGAGAATTGTCACCAAGCAGTTATTTCCCCAACCAAATTGTTCTCTGGTCTTCACTGCAGTGAGAATGCTTAAAAGCAGCCTTAGATGTAACTGCAGGTGGAGGTATCATGAGTAGTCATTACCTACAGGTCAAAGCGAGAAGACATCCCTCTCCACCTGGAGCTAAGAATGAAGGGCTGAGAGTTGCACACTCATTTCTAAGTGTGAATTTTCCAGTTTTAAAGGTCATTCTGGATATGCTGCCCCTGGACTAAGAATTACCATTGTTTTTTTTTCCTTTTTATCATGTTAAAATAAAAACTTATCACTACTGAAATAACTTTATTGAACAAGTGAACAGTAAAATTATATTACCATGTACAGCAACTCCCTTTATAGCTAAAGCTTATTTAAAAGTAAACTAAATCCTTTAGTTACTAAGTCTAAACATTAGCAATCTCAATTTATACTAATTCTGGTCTTCTCTCCAGATGTGGTTAAAATAATCTTCAGCTCATACCTAAATCCTTATCTGGTACTAGATTCTCTCCTAGGGCTTGTCTAGGGCAGAATTCTATCCCCCAAGATTCCCTTGATTAAAAGGTTCTGTGGTCAAATAAATTTGGGGAATGAAAATTTTATAGCTTTCTCTTGGGGTTTTATCAAAGTTCATTCACATATTAAAAACCCTGAGAAGTCCTTTGAAAAGAAATCATTTACTTTTACTTAATCGGAGCTTCCCAAACAAGCTTAACAAAAAAACCTTTTTTATTTTTTTATTGTTATTCAATTACAGTTGTCCCCATTTTCCCCCCTTACACTCCCCTGCCCTCCCCACCCCCCACCTGCCACATTCAATTCTCCCCTCTGTTGTCTTTGTCTATGGGTCCTTTATACATGTTCCTTGACTTGACCATTCCTCTTCTTTCCCCCCCCTCCCCCACTCCTCTGGCCACTCTCAGTTTGTTCTTTATTTCCACGTCTCTGGTTCTATCTTGCTCTCTTGTTTGTTGTGCTGATTAGATTCCACTTACAGGTAAGATCATATGATATTTGTCTTTCACTGCCTGGCTTATTTCACTTGGCATAATGCTCTCTAGTTCCATCAATGTTGTAATGAAGGGTAGGAGTTCCTTCTTTCCTTCTGCTGTGTAGCATTGCATTGTGTAAATGTACCATAGGTTTTTTTTATCTACTCACTTCTGATGGGTACTTAGGCTGTTTCCAGCACTTGGCTATTATAAATAAAGCTGCTATAAACATTGAGGTGCATAGGTTCTACTGGATTGGTGTTTCAGGATTCTTAAGGTATAATCCTAGCAATGGAATTGTTAGGTCAAATGGCAGTTTCATTTTTAGTTTTTTGAGGAAATTCCATACTGTTTTCCACAGTGACTGCACCAGTCTGCATTCCCACCAACAAGGTACTAGGGTTCCCTTTTCTGAACAACCTCACCAGCACTTGTTTGTTGATTTGCTTATGATTGTCATTCTGACTGCTGTGAAGTAGTATCTCACTGTGGTTTAATTTGCATCTCTCTGATGGCTAGTGATGCT